GAGAAGATGGAGAAATGCTAACAGGGGACAAAGAAAAGACAGAATTACTCAACACGTTCTTTGCCTCAGTCTTCTCACAAAAAGAAAAGGGTGCTCAAATTGAGGAAAATGGAGCAGAGGACACAATAGAGGAAATGTAGCACAGAATAAGTAAAGAGATAGTACAGGAATACTTGGCTTCTCTAAAACAAATTCAAGTCTCCAGGGCCAGATAAACTAAATTCAAGGGTATGAAAAGAACTAGCAGAAATAATCTCAGAACCACTGTCAATAATCCTTGAGAATTTCTGGAGGACAGGAGAGGTCACAGCAGACAGAAGGAGGGCAAATGTTGTCCCCATCTTCAAAAAAGGAAAAAATGAAAACCCCAAAAATTATGGAAAAAACCATGATATGAACTAATGAAATAATAGTGTGTACCCATCCCAACAACACGTAATGCATGCAGGCACACACTATGTGTATTAGAATGATTAACACATAACTTAATAGTTTACTTAATAACTAAAAATATTCAGCTTTTACATTGAGGACTCAGAACAATCTTCTGAGAAATGATTTTTGTTTGAGAGAGAGAGAGAGAGAGAGAGAGAGAGAGAGAGACCTTAATCTGTGTCTGTATTCTCTTACAGAAAAATAAAGCACACAGTGCTTTACATGAAGGCAAGTAGACTGAAATGTGAAGATAGACAGTGTTGGCAATAAACAAAACATATAAATAGAAAACATTAATTATATACCCAGAGGTATGCAGACACACAATGAGAACCTGTTTGGTGGCTGGTTCATGGCACTGAGTGAGCTCCATATGTCAACTAGAAGATGAATCTGGCTAAATCTAAGTCAAACAATTTTTGCCTTGCCTTTCCACCTCATCTGACTGTCTATGCGTTTCCGTTTTTGTTGTGTGTGCCTTCAAGTTGTTTGTGACTTACAGTAATCCTCTCATGAGGTTTTCTTGGCAAGATGTCATCAGAGGGGGTTTGCTATTGCCATCCTCTGAGGCTGACAGCGTGTGATTTGCCCGAGGTCACCCAGTGACTCTCAATGGCTGAGCAGGGATTTGAACCCTTGTCTCCTGGAATCCTAGTCCAACATTCAAGCCACTACACCACACTGGCTCACCAGTGACTGTCAATAGGGTCTTTTAAATGCATGGTGAGATTAGCCTTTCCTCTTCACTTCTTGCTGTGGTGTCACTAGGGTTGGTGTCAGCATGCCTTGTCCTCCCGCCTGGTCAGACACCGCTGCAGCCTCCCTCCCACCACAAAATCCTTCCTAATCCACCAGATATGGAAAGCAGCAGCCCCCACCTTCCTTCCAAGTCTGCCAGACTTAGGAGACAGCCACATCTCCTCCCCCCCAGTCTTTCCTAGTCTGCTGGACACAGAAGTCAGCCATCCCC